TCAGAGGGAAGCAATCCTGCTGACACCTTCATCTCGACTTCCAGCTTCCAGAATGAGAGACAAATTTCTGCTATTGAAGCCCCCTAGTTTGTGGTACTTTGTTAACGACAGCCTAAGAAACTAACACACAGGCCATCCTAATCTGACCTTCTCTTACAACCACATCCTTGTCCTTGCGCCCCCAACTTATCCTTGCTTCTCCTGATCACTTCTTGTATGCTCTCCCACCTCTTCCCTAACGTCACTGCACACCCACCCCTGCCAATGCCCTTCGGCACCGTTTCTTGTCAGGGGTACCAGTGGCGTTTTGGATGGGCAGTTCTTATGGGGGACAGTCTGGCACACTGCAGGATGCAGAGCATCCCTGGTACTCTCCTTCCCCCAAGGGTGCGACAGTGCCCACAGTGGAGAACTTTTGCTCTAGAAGGTTTGCAGCCCACCAGAGTTTGACTCAGGGTTCCACCATCTACTGCATATGATCTCAATGAGGTCTCTTAACTTCAGCCTCTTTATCTGTAAAATGGAAAAAACTACCTTGCCAAGTGACTGAAAATTCAGTGAATTAAACATTCTGACGAGCCCAGGCTTACCCTGACTAGTTCACTCTGGCATTAGAATCACTTAAGGATCACGCCCAGTTGGTTCTACATGGTCACATCCTGACTTTTAACTGCCTAGGAACTCCTTTCCAGGGCATCCTTACACAGCGAAGCTTCCTTGGATACACTGTGCGGAGATGCAACGGCTTAACTAGTCAATGCATATTTAAAATAGCTGTAAGTCACGCAAACCAGTAGGGCATGCCTTCTACAGCTGCAGAGCCAGACAACTCTGAGCAGTTTCTGTGTGTTCCCCGCCACCCCCACCCCAACTTGAAACATAGTTGCAGCCCTGCACAAAGCTCCCCCTTTTCCAACTTTGCTTCCAACTTCTTAATTTTTGCTCCCAGGGAGGGTCCCTCTCAAACACGCAGGGATCCACTGCTGTCCAGCTCTTTTCACCATGCCCCATGGAAACCTCCCCCAGGCCAGCATCAGTTCTTCACGGTCCCCGATTAAACAGTTTGCATGCCAAGTCTTTGGGTCGTGGAGAGCACTGATTTGTGCCATGACGCCAGAGCCTAAGACTGTTCTGATGATCACATACACCCAGCACCTAACACACAGCCTGGAACTTAGTAGGTTTTCAATGATTGTTTGATGAATGCCAGAGTCAGCTAAGGCAGGAATGAATGCACTGCTAAATGAATACATGAATGAATACACTCGTGGGTCAGGACACCTGGTTTCCATTTAGCCCTCAGCTCTGCACTGACTGACAGAAATGATCTCAGGGCAAGACACTTAATGTCTACACCCAAATTTCCTTCTCTGTGAAACTAGGTGGTTGGAGGTCACTAGAAAATCTCTTCAGGTTTTCTTCCAGCTCTAAGAACTGAACCCAGGAACTTGAACAGAGAACGAAAGACTTTATTTCCTTTTAGAGAAATTTGAGTCAAAGCAAACAGGGGTAAAGATTTTTCCAAAATCACACACCAGGGCTCCCTCCCTGCCAGAGGGCACCTTGCTCCCTGGGGACAACAGGCTCCAGACAGCACGCAAGGGGCAGATGCTAAAGACATCTCTGAGATGCTGAGCACTATGGATTTGTCATCGAGGGCTCCTTTCAGGGACTTAGAGGCACCCCTGTCCTCAAAAGAGGTCCACAGGGACCTCTGCTGCCTGCCCTCCCTTTCCAGCCTGAACGGGGTGGGCGCGTGTGCTCTCTGCCAGGCTCCATATCTAAGCCAGTCCCTCTCCCTGCCATCTGCCTATGGCTCCCACATGCATATTTTATGATTTCTGGCACATTTCCTCCTTATCTGACATCCTGCAATGCATCTCTCTGCCGCCTATATTATTTCTATCTCTGGAGAGAAGGTTCCTGAAAGAGGCCTGTGTCCTTGGGCTGTACTTTATTGCAGGTGGCTTACCTTTCCTATCTCCCCGCCTGAATTCCTTGAGGCCCACACCTTCCCTCCTCCTCCAGCTCCCCAGGAGACCAAGGACAGAGCTGAGCAAGCAGCAGACCCCTAGAAAATACTGGTTTAATGAATAAAATAATGAATGATGAAAGAACTGACTGATTTCAATGTTTTTAAATTAATAAGTCATGTTAATATATTTCCTGAATAGAGTTACCAAGACCTCCCCTTTTGGGTATACAACCAGAATAAATTAAATTTTAAAATGACACTTGTATGAAGACACTATTTTCTTAGGACTGAAATAAAATGTCCTTCACTACAATATGAATTACAGCAACATTATCAGCTGCATAAGAAATCTGATTTTCAGGTACCCATAGCATAATAATGTGGCATCACTTTTACTTCACAGTAAAAGTAGATTTGACCTAGAGCTGGGGAAGGTAAGAGGGCAATCACGCTGTGGTGTTAATTATTCCAACTACCACTGTTACGTGTTGAAGCTGGAGAGTTCAGAGAAATCAGAACAAGATAGGAAGATTTTCTCTAAGTGGGTTGTTTAAATCTACTGCTGATCGGGGCAAAGTATCTTTCTGGAAATTCTCGGGACTTACTTAGCTAAGTCTAATTCTAGTCACCTTCCTTCCTTGTGGTTTAACAAACTTCAGCTAAAACCAAACCAACTTGGGAACCAAATTATTTGTTCTCCCATGCACTTGTTGGTCACGGAATAAACAGCACCAATGGTCAGCACAACACCGCTGGAGGGAAGACATTACGGCCAGGCTAGCAAAGCTTAACGCAGCTTAATGCTATAAGCCCCATTCGCCTCGCCAGCCCAACAGTCGCCCTCAACAACTTCATTATCTCTTAGAAATCATTATTCTTGTATATTAGCATAAACTTAACATCTCCCAAAGTATCAATGTTACATAATTACAGAAAAACTGCAGACAGATACAAGAGAGAATACTATAACTGGAGAGACTCACTGGCTGAGCATTGTCTGAAACTGAAAAAGATCAGGTCCATTAAAATAGATAATTAGCGTTTACGGGCTGGACGTTATGTGATAACAGAGTATGTCTTCCAGGTTAACTCAAACCAAGTCAGAACACATGCTACCAAGAGGACAGTGAGAGGACTGAGACCTCACAGGAAAACACTGAAGGACAAGAACAAACTCACCTTGCAGGCTAATATGGATACTGTTCAAGTGAAAGAAGCTATTACAACGATTTATCCACATTTTCCCAAGTGGTGAAGTCACAGCATTTTAAAGCTAGAGCGCACTTCTGAGTTTTCATCACAACCCTTCATTCTCCAGACGAGAGACGTGATAGAGAGGGAGCACCTCAGCCAAGCTGACACCACCATCACCGCCCGCGTTAAAACTCGGGTCTCTGGAGTCTAGGTTCATGCACAGAACACATAATATTAAATTTAAAAATTAAAAAGGCACATAGCAGGCAGGCAATAAATATTTGTTAATGGAATTGAGGAAACAGAGAGTCAGGGTTCCAGAACTATCTTGCTATTACACCTACTGACAGCATAAGCCAAGGAACTACCTTAAGTTTTCACTTTGGCTTGTCCGACATAGCCCTGGCTTCTTAATACTATAGGGCATCTCCTCCGCAATCAACAAAACGCTACTGGAACAATTACTGAAGCGTGCAAGTTGGTGGTGAAACCAAAAGTTTTGCAGCATTCTTCTGAAGCAATGCATCTGAAAAAATCTATCTATGAAATAGAATGGGTATCCAAACAAATTAAGCCTATCTCCAGAGGAGAAATCTACAAAAGGCAGGTATGACTAAGCAACCACAAAACTACCAGGAGTCTGGGGAACAGTGCAGCCTGCACGTAAAGATAAGGTGGAGTTTCCCATCTATTGTTCTTAAGGCAAAAGGGTGTCTTTTTTTGTACTATAATTTCTTTTTGAATAAAAAGCCTCAGTGGTTTATAAGGATTTGCAAACAATATTTTATACTATCTCCCATCCGACCCGCTTCGGAAACAAATTTTGGGACAATCTGGTTGAGTTGCTGGGCAGGGAACTGGCCAGACCAAATTTTAAGCAATCGATATTGCACTTTTTGACGTATTTGATTATATCTCTCACCAAAGAGCCTCTTAAATCTATAATTTAACTCTTAGCTAAGGAAACCAAGTCTTAATAATCACGTAAAACATATTGCTACCTAACTTACTCAGTGGGACATCAAGTGTACTACTGAATTTTTCCTTAAAGTCTGACATCTAGCTATTTAACTTCTCTTCCTCCTAAAAACATTTCCAGAATATCGACCGAACAAAACAGCTTAAAATAATTAAAGAGACCACTATTTATACAACCCCAAGAAGAAACTGACCATAGCATTACAGGGAGAAAGGAGCCAATCGCACACACATTTACAGAAAGAAGTAAAAATATTTTACAGCACCCCAGGCAAAATGATGACAAACAAACAAAAAAACCCTTGCACGACAGGATAAACCTGGTTTACTCTTCTCTTTGCGCAGGTATAAAACTAGAGAAATATACTTGGTGGCGGGGAAAGGAGGGTGCAGAGCAATTCCCACTTCAACTTGTTTCACTCGGGAGCTAGGCTGGCAAACCAAGCAGCTTAAAAAGCTCCTGTACAAAACCTAACCAAGCTGAATGTCCCAAATCGAGAACTAACAGCAAGGGGAGCGGGACCCCCGAAGCTCTCGGATCACCCCCTCCCTAAATTCCTGAGACACCCAACTAGAGCGGGGGGCATCCCGCGGACTCCATTTTCCCGCCGCGCTGTCTCCCTCTCAGGCCGCGCAGGGTGGGCATGTGGGTGCGCCGGGGTCCCCCACCCACCTCAGCTGCCCGCCCTTTCCATTGTGGTCCCGGTGTGATGGAGCACCTGCGGGCGCCCGCTCCCGCGGCCGGACGCGCCGGGACGTGCAGAGCCGAGCGCCGCGCCCCGCGCAGCACCCGCACCCGCGCCCCACCCCGCAGACGCAACCCCGGCCGGCCACCGGTGTCCGCAGTGCTCACCGCCACGAATCCCGAGGAGGAGGCGATGAACACGCGGATGACCATCCTCTCGCCGGACGGACCGTCTGCCCGCGCGGGGCTCCGGGCTGGCGCGGGCAAGGAGGGAAAACTCGGCTACAAGCCCCTGGCGCCGCGGGGCTGAGCGCTCCGGTTCGGGAAGACCACGGGGACCCGGCTCCCTCCCGCCTGGTCCGCAGATAAAAGCCCGGAGCCTCCCGGCCGCCGGCCGCGGGGCGACGAGGGGAGGAGGACGAAGAGGAGGGGGGAGGGAGAGCTGGCTGCGGGGCATGCTGGGAGTCGTAGTCCCGGTCTCTCCCCTGAGTGGCTGGTGGACCCAGCTCCTTCCAGCCCCTCCTCCCTGCGCGTCGGTCCTGCACGCGCCCAGGTGGCTGGAGGGGACCCCGAAGCCAGGAGAAGCTATGGAGGGGGGTGGCGAGGATCCCGGTGAGACTAGGAGAAAGAAAACTAGGCTAAAGGGCTTGGTTCAAAGTCCATGCTTGGGTTCTGTGTTGTGGTTTACTGGTTTGGAGCATCCCCACCCAGAAACGCCACTGGACGCGATAGTGCCGCGGGGACCCACCGTTTCTGGGCAGCAGGCGCGCGGGGCGAGCCCCCAGGACCTGCGGCCGGCAGGGCGGGCGAGGGGCGGCGGGACTGGGCGCTCCTCTGTTTTCCCAGCGGCTCTGGAGATTGCAGAAAAGTGATTCTTTTAGGTAAATGAGGGGTTTTCTTTTTCTGTAGACACTGAAAAGTAGAAACCAGATGAGAGCACAACCGATATTTTATTTTTCTCAGCAAAACTGTAATTGTAGTAGGAAAAAATAAATGCCAAGCGAAATTAGAATCCTTCTATCAGCATTGGGAGTCAGGACCCCGCCCGCCCCACCCTCTAACCTACACAATGGCTTCGCTTCTGTGCACTTAATATTTACAATTGAGCCAAATCTGTGCCTTTTTCAGACCTGCGGCACATTCCAACGCAGTCTCCCAGGAGGATGCTGTTAGATAAAAAGCTTTTATGTGGTTGCTAATAGTTTAGGAATAGTTCCTTAGCAAGTGTTTTCTGTTTCACAAAAGCGCAGCCTCTCACAGTTTCGTGGAAATGAACCAGTTTTCCTCGCAGCACTGTATTTACTTTCTTCCTTTCGGCAGGGGAGCTTAGCGGAGTTCTGGGAACAATGTTAATTAACGTTCTAGAAAGAAAGAAATTAGATGACGAGGTTTGGCAAATTTCTTGCACAAATACTAATTGTTTTGGAGCATTTGTTTTTTAGAACAGCTTTGACTATTCCAAGTTTATAACCTTTCCTATTACTTAAGTCATTTCTGTAGTATTCCTTTTTAATTTAGGACAGTAACAGAAGATGCAATTCTAATGGAAATTTATTTCTTCTTAGTATTCAACAATTTTAAATATAAGTTTTGCTGTAGTTAATATCTCTCTGCAAACGTACTTTAATTTGACGACTAAAAATGTGGAAATGTTTATAAATTTTAAAATAATTTTCTTAAAGATAGATACTATATTTTCTATATAAATGCAACTTTATAAAACTCAACATTTTCTTCAGTTTGGAGTTTTTCAGCTTTGAAGATACGGTTAAACTCAGCAAATAGGAACTCAGAGCCTATTGTCTGAAAGGTAGCCGAGTGGATGACAAGTTGAACAAGTCATTTCCTCAGTCAGCATAGCACCTATTGTCTGCAAAAGAAAACGACAGGTGCAGAAATAGCAACAGAACCAGATGCACTGTACCCATAGAGTGTTGGGTGGATATAAACGAAAGAGAGGGAAAGGGTGGCCTTTTAGAAGAGACTTTAAAGATGAGTAGAATTTCTGCTGGCAGATAGAGGGGATGCTGGGTAAGAATATGCAGAGTCTGTGAGAACAGCAAAGAGTCGGTTTGGCTTCAGAGGGGCATATAAGGGGACTGTTAGGGGACAATGCAGAAAACGTAAGTTTGAATGCATACCACAAGGGATTCTCACTGGGTTGTCTTCCCAGCTCCTGCCCTTTTCTGGAATCTGTTCCTCCACACTGATCCAAGAGGTTGAGGGGTGGTGCCCCAAAGCCCTGTTTCGTACAGCAAGACCCAGACCCCTGGCCGTGGCTGGTTGGTGTAAGGGTGAGCTCCTAACCCAAGTAAGGGCAGGCAACCTCCCTACCCTAAGGGGTTGTAGTTAGGACTGGGAAAGCGAGAGTAACTTGTGATATGGAAGCTCAGAGCTTTCGGAAGCCATGTTCCAACATGAGGACCAGAGAAGCTGAAGAAGCTAGTCAGGACGAAGAGAACAACAAATCAGACATGTGGAGGGTGACAGAGATGAATTTCAGAAAGTCCTGATAATGCTTTAGTCCAGAGGTCCTAAAACTATGACCTGTGTGTCAAATCCTACTGGTTGTCTGTTTTGTAAATAAAGTTTTATTGGAACACTTTCCTTTTCATGTTGTCTATGGCAGAGTGACAGAAACGATGTGGTCCTTGAAACCTAATACATCTACTCTCAGGCCCTTTACAGAAAAAGTTTGCCAATCCCTGTTTATGATTCAACCTGTTCCTATAGCCGTGTTCTTGAGGCCTGTGTAACGTCCCTGTATCCATATCCTAAATTCCTCGTTCCTTACTTACCTACAAGATAAACATAAATGAGTTTCTGTTTTGTGCAAGCAAAGGTGTCCTAAGAAGTTTGTACTTAATTTGTGAGCATTCTGAGGAAGAGAAGGATATCATCAGAACTATACTTGGAAAAGATTATAGTTCTCTGATAATGGTTAGCTCTGGTTTTTCCACCCTGAAAAAGTTTATCTCTAGAGCTTGTATGCAGGACAAAGTGTTAGCAGTCCAGGAACGCACAGGGCCAGTGCGGAGTTGAGACCCAGTGTCAGTAGTAGCCAAAGTGGATGAGTGACCAAGAAGAGAAAGCAAATCTGGGATATAAGCTAGCCATCCAAGATCAACACCAGGCTCTCATCCCACAGAGAGGGTTAGATGTCCATCTGACAAGTAAAGTCTGCAGATAAAGCAGGCAGCTGAAACTTGAAGACAGAACTCAGAAAACTGAGTAGGTCATTAGGCTTCAGGGAGGTTACTCCCGCGTTGCCTAAGGCTAGATCCCCTTTAGGAGTCATTCCTATGAAAAGGAATGCAGTCTCATGAAAATATTTACAAAACAAACAGCCAGATTTGACACACAGGTCATAGTTTTAGGACCCCTGGACTAAAGCCTTAGTCCATCTGGCTACAGTGTTGTTTTTTTTCCTTAGCTTTACTGAGACATAATTGATATATTACATTGCGTAAATTTAAGGTGTACAACATGATGATTTGATATACGTATATATTATGAAATGATCACCGTAATGAGGTTAGTTAATAGGCTAGAGTTGTAAAGCAGGGTTTCTTAACCTTTCACAGTCTAATAAAGTCTATGGACCCTTTCTCAAAAAAAAAAGTTTCTAAATACAGAAAATAAAAGAGACAGGATTACAAAGGGAACTACTTATATTACAAAACAGTTATCAAAATATTAAATTTTGATAGGGTAATATATGTGCTTCTTTATTAATACATTAAATATCAAGATTTAGTGGTGGGTTAAATAGCCACCATAATTTTGAAATATAACGGGAACAAATAAAATTTTGAGATATTTGCAACACTTGGAAAATCTTAAAACACCTGTGCTTTCTGTTGGTAACAAAATCACAAATGTTTGCTGCTAATACCGTGGTTTCTTGCTACATTCATAATTAAAGGAATTGGTAAATTTTGTTTAGAGTTTAGTGAAAACATGAAGATGTTATTTTTTTCTTATTCATCAAGTCCCTAAATTCTATCCACCGTCCTTTGTGGGTTGGGAGGCGTGTGTGTCCAAGAACCCCAGGTTAAGAAATTGTGGTGTCTGACTGGATCCAAATCTGTAGAAGCCTGTGGAGTTGCCTAAGAAGAAAGTATAGAAAGACACAAGAAGAAGCCATGAAGGTCCTTTAGAGAACTCCGACGTTTAAGAATTGGAAGGAGAACAAGGAATTTAAGCGTGGAAAGGCAATCAGAAAAGTATGAGACCAAAAGAGAACCCAAGAGAAGAGTCTCAAATTACAGGAAGAAGAGAGCAGTGACTTGACATCTTACATGGAAGTCTAGAAAGATACTCATGAAAATGGAGGCTTTGAGTTTGTTAGTTAGGCAGCCTGAGCTCACATTCCAGTTTTGCCACTTAATACCTTGGGCAAATTTTGTCACCTCTCTAAGCCTCAGTTTTCATGTCTATAAAATGAATATAAATAATGGGTATCAGTCAAGATTGTTATGAGGATTAATTATGCTTAGGATGTTCTCTAAGTTATGCATTATAGTGTCTGTCAACACACAGCCCTTCTGAAGGGCATTCCCACTCCACCTGGTTACAGATGTTTGGACCACATCTGTGTACCTCCCCTGATGTGACCTATTTCAGCTTGAAAATAATTTATGACGTATGACCAGGCTTGAAAATACATGTTGGTCCTCTTTGAGGAATTTACAGTTGGAAGATCGAAAGACTAAGGCAGTTAGCAGTAGGATTATAAAGGAAGATGCTGCCAGGCGGGTGGGGTGGGGATGAGAAGCTCAAAGCAAGCTGAGGCACTGAGGGATCTGAAATGAAGAACAAAAAGAAGGAAGTCTGTCTGTGACAAGACGAGAATGGAGCCGCTATGGAGTGAGAAGCAGAGACACTAACGAGGCTGGCAGCGTCTTACGGCCAGTCTCAGTCTCCGTGAATCCAGGTCTGCCACAGTTCCTGCCCTTGGGTTGCTGTTTCCTAACCCCCGTCTTTTATCTTGAGCTAGTTTAAGCAGGTGTCTATTCCCGGCAACTGTACAATCCTGACGGGGTAGTAAGTCATATTCCTACAGGGGTTGGGCAGGTAACTTAAATGAAAGAGGATAGCAAGATCCAAGTGCACATGTATTCACCGGGAGCACTGTAGCAAACCGGACAACACGTCTCCAATATTCACATTTCTGTCTGAAATATTCTGATTTTTCAGTGTCAACTTAATTTTTAAAAACTGAGCCAACTAAGGTAAAACCGTCTGCAAGTCCTGATCGGCCCTGTGCTTCTCCTGGTTTCTCCCTCCAAGGTAAAGAAAGCCCTGAGTTTGGCTCCCAATAAATCTGCAAGGAGCACGGGGTGTTAGTATCATGATGGTTTCTTGTCATTGCTGACCTTCCAGCAGAAGGGGGGAGGCAGGAGCCAGGTTGCTGCGGCCT